AAAAATGAGATTTTTAGGTGAAAAAATGAGATTTTTAGGTGGAAAAATGGGATTTTTAGGTGGAAAAATGGGATTTTTAGGTGGAAAAAATGGGATTTTTAGGTGAAAAAATGGGATTTTTAGGTGGAAAAATGGGATTTTTATGGAAGAAGAATGGGTTTTGGTTGGAAGAAATGGGATTTGGGTTAAAGAATGGCATTTTTGGGAAAAAATTGGAATTTTTGGTGAGAAAATGGGATTTTTAGGTGGAAAAATGAGATTTTTATGGAAGAAAAATGGGGTTTGGAGAGAGAAAATTCGGGTGAAAAAACAGATTTTTGGGAAAAAATTTGGATTTTTTTGTGAAAAATTTGTGATTTTTAGGTGAAAAAATTTGGGATTTTTAGGTGAAAAAATGAGATTTTTAGGGAAGAAAAATGGGGTTCGGGAAAAGAGAAAATCTGGGTGAAAAAACAGGGATTTTTTCCAAAAAAAAGTCCAAATTTCCTCCAAAAAACCTCCAAACCTCACCAAATTTCCTCTAAAAAGTTCTCAAAATTTCACTGAATTCCACCCCAAAAAATCTCGAAATTTCACCCATTTTTCTCCTAAAAATTCTCTAAATTCCACCCAATTTTCTCAAAAAAAATCTCAAAATTTCACAGAATTTCCTCAAAAAAAAAAAAAAATCCCCCAAAATTCCAAAAAAAATCCTCAAAAAAATCCCAAAAAAATTCCCCAAAAATTCCCCCCCAAAATCCCCCCAAAATTCCCCAAAAATTCCCAAAAATCCCCCCAAAATTCCCCAAAAATTCCCAAAAAAATCCCCCCCAAAAATCCCAAAAATCCCCAAAAAATTCCCAAAAAATTCCCAAAAAATACCAAAAAATCCCCCCAAAAATCCCCAAAAGATCCCCAAAAAATCCCCCAAAAATTCCCCCCAAAAAATCCCAAAAATTCCCAAAATTCCCCCAAAATCCCTACCTTTGCAGAAGGTGCTGATGGAGGCGTTCTGGGGCGTGGCCAGCTGGGCGTGGCTGGCCTGGCAGGTGAAGGTGGCTCCCGCCTCCCACAATTCCCGGCTGACGTTGACGCGGCCGCTCAGCGTCATCTCCCCGGCCCCGCCCTCCTGGCAGGTGGAGAGCTCCGCCCCCAGATCGGTGACGTCACCGTTGACCAACCAGGTGAGGGTGGCCTCGTCGGAGCCCTGCCCCCTCACCTGGCAGAGGAGGAGCACCTGGGGGAGCTCCAGGTGGGACAGGTGGGGGTCGCTCAGGAGGGAGACGGAGAAA